GCACGCACGCACGCACGCACACACGAACACACGCACGCACGCACACACACACACACACACGCACACACACAACCACACACAACTACACCACACACACACACTCAACCACACACAGACAGACAACACACACACACACGCACGACCACAAACGCACACACATGCACGCACGCACTCACAGACACAGACACAGACACAGACACAGACACAGACACAGACACGGACACAGACAATAACACTAACATTGACACACACAGACGCACACACACAGACACAGACACAGACACAGGCACACACACACACCCTCCCAGAGACACACACACACACAACACACACACACCAACATACACACACCAACACACACATACACACACTCACTAACACACGCACACACAGACACACACAGACACACACAACACACAAGCACACCACATACACCACACACACACACACGCACGCACGCACGCACGCGCACACGCGCACACACATACCACGTACACCATCCCTGCAAAACCACCCACACACACTCACACACACGCACAGTCACACACCCACACTCACACAGGTGGGGGGCTCTAGTGATGGTGCGGCGAGCCCTGGCTTTTGCCCGCACCTGGGGGCAGGGAGTGCACCCGATACCACCGGCCCTAAGAATGGGGCGCCCCTGCGGCCGCTTGGGGGGGTCGGGGGTGGGGGACGCATGGGGGGGCTGTTTGTCGTGCTGGCCGCTGCTACCAACCACACACATTGGGGGCCCGACCACAAGAAACCTTCCACAGGAAACCCAACCCTGAGACCCCAGGACGTCCATTGATTTTTGGTGTGGGAACGCCACGCCAATGGCAAAACCATCGAAACCCAAGAAACCCATGGTACCATGAAGGCAAGTAGGGTGTTTCTTGGCATGGACCCCCACTGTACCATGCCTTGGAGTGGCACACCCCCAGCTGCACACCGCGTTTCGGCCCGTCCCTCCCCCCCCCTTTCGGATGGCGTGCGGCTTCCCCCCCCGCGGCAGCCTTCTGCCCATCGGGGCACGAAGTGGGCGCTTCAGCAAGCATCGGGCGTGAGCCTGTCTCGCCCACGCCTCCCCCTCCCCCCCGCCCCCCCCTCCCCCCTCCCCCTCCCCCTCCCCCCCCTCCCCCTTCTCCTCCTCCTCCACCTCCTCCTCCTCCCCCTCCTCCTCTTCCTCCTTCCTCCTCCTCCTCCTTCTCCTCCTCCTCCCCGTCGGCCCAGGGGAAGGAGCACGGCCCTGAGTCGTGGCTATAGCTGGGCCCACCTTCGACGCGGCAGTCGTGGCCGCGCGGCCCGTCCTGACTCTGGCGCCCTCGGGCGGGCGCCTACGTGCGCGGAGCGTGCAGCTCCTGGCCTGCGTGCCATTTTTGGCCCGCCCGTTGCCGGTTGGCGTTTGGGCTTCAGGCGGCGGTCCTGTGGTACACGCGCACATACGCACACGAACACACACACACACACGCACATGCACACACACACACACATGCACACAACAACCCACACAGCACACAACACACACACACAGACGAACAAAGTAAACACAAACACACACAACAGACAGCACACAGCACACAGCACGCAGCACACAACACACAACACACACACGAACACAAGTACACACAAGCACACAGCACACAGTACACAGCACACAGTACACAGTACACAGCACACAACGCACACACACACACAAACCCACAACAACACACACAACACACAGCACACAGCACACAACACACAACACACAACGCACAATACACAATACACAACGCACACTACGCAACACACAGCACACAGCACACAGCACACAACACACAGCAAAGAACACACACCACAACACACACAAACCCACAGCAGCTCACACAAACACTTACAACGCACAGCAAACAACACACAACGCACAATGAGCAAAACGCAACACACAAACACACACACACAACACACAACACACAACACACAACACACACAACACACAACACACACCACACTACACATAGCACACAACACACACGCCCGTTCCCTGGCCGTCTCCGTGGTACGCGCTGGACGCACGGGCGTGCCTGCCCTCCCTTCTGCTTTTGTTCTCCCCAGGGGGCGAGGCGCCTGCTGTGCCAGACCTCGCCCGCCGCGCGCCCGACGGTGCCTCTTCCCCTGCCCGCTGTACCGGGCCTCCCCGTCGGGCCTCTCACGCGCACCCCCTGCGCAGAAGCTCCTCGACGGCACCCTCCACGCTTCCCCTGGCCGACCGCAGTGCCGCCTGCGCCGCGGAGCGCGGGAAGCCCATGGCGGGGCAGCAGAAATGGCACACCTGCCCCGCCCTCCCCGTCTCTGGCTGCTCCCGAGAGGGGGGGGGTGCACCAGCCACCACCCACACCCACTGCACTGGTCCTGGCCAGGGTGCGTGCGGGCTCAACGTTGGCGCCTCTGGGCCCTCCTGCTCACCTACAGCGAACGTCGTCGAGAACCGACGGCGGCCGATGTTGGGCAGGCGACGGTTGTTTCACATGGGCAACGTCCGCGGCGACCCCGACCACGAATCCTGCCCAAAATGGGCAAGAGCTGCTTTCGTTCTTCGCTCCCGTTCTTTCCGTCCCCTTCTCGACCCTCCTGGCCCCAGCTCCTCTCCCCGCCCTAGATGGGGGCCTGAAGCGGCAAAGCATTTTTGCACCTTTTTCAAAACAAATATCTCTGGAACATGCAAACACGTGTAAAGAACGGCTCCCAGAAACGAACAACAAAAAGAAAGCTCCCGAATTGGAACTGGTACCGGACAAGAAAAACAACGGCGACGAAACCGTACACAAAAACGGCGCCAGAGCTGGCAACAGGGAAAGGAACTGGTAACAGAAGCCGCCTTGTCGTCTCCAGGGCCCCAGGGGCTTCCGCCCGCCTCCCGCCACGTTGGGGGGGCCACGTGTGCCCCTCCAGCCTCCCCGATGGCGACCACCCGCTCCAGCGCGTCCGGCGCGCCGGGGCCGCCGGCCTGCTGCGACGACGAGCTCGCGGCCTGCGAGCTGCTGGCGGCCTCGCCCGGCCCCTGGCCGGGGCCGCTGGAGGCCGAGGAGGACGTCGAGGACGGAGAGGAGGGGGAGGGCGGCAGCCCCTGCAGCAGCGCCGCGATCGACGCGTCGCTGCACACGTCCTCCGCGGGAGCCCGGGCGGGCGGGCGGCCAGGCGACCCGGGTGCCAGGCGCCGGGCAGGGGCCGCCGCGCAGCCCGGGCCCGCCCCGCGCGGAGCCCCCTCCTCCGCCGGGCGCGGCCGAAGTCTGGGGAGGTCCCGACGGGGTGGCGGGGCCCAGGGGGCGCCAGGGCAGAGGCCTCCCAGACGGGGTCCGATAGGATGGTGTCGGAGCATCGCGCTGCATCGCCGATGCATCGGCAATGCATCGGCGATGCGCTGGCGACGCTGGCGGAGCGTCGGCGCCGTCGGCGTGGAGGCAATCGGGCTCCGCATCGAGCCGCATCGCCGATGCATCGGCGGTGTGGCTCGATCCTCCGACCCCATCTGCTCGGTGGACAAAGGCAGCGCGGGGGGCAAGAGCTCACCCTTCGCCCAGGGCCCCCCTCCGAGTCCCGCCACCCTCTCGGGCAGACCGCCCCCAGGCTTCTGGCCAGCCGGGCGTGCCTTCACGGGCAGCGGTGGCCGTGCAGCAGGACCAGCGCTGCGGCTGGGGCGCGGCGAGGGCGACGGCGAAGAGGACGAGGACGAGCTCGAAGACTCTTCCGGCGAGGGTGGCAGCAGCGCGAGCAGCCGCGCAATCGCGGCGTCCTCGGAGGTGTCCTCCGCGTCCTGCAGGGGGGCTGGCGGCGAGGGCACCCGCTCCGCGTCCGGCAGGGGCACCAACTCCGCATCATCCAGAGGTGCTCCCAGGGCGCCGCTCAGGGCTGCCGGCAGCTCGTCCTCCTGGCCGCTGCCCGCGAGCGGGCCGAGGCCGTCGGGCGCGGGCGGCGCGGCGACGCTCGGCGCCTCTGGCGGCCGCGGCCTGCCAATATGGCGCCGCTTCTTTGGAAGCGGCTCTGTGAGGTGCACCTCGCTGCGGAAGTACTTCTCGCGCTGCTCCCTCCGCGCGGCCTGCACCGCGTCGCTGGCCAGGTCCTCTCCCTGCAGGCGCGCGAGCTGTGCTGGCGCCACCAGTCTGCCCAGCACCCGGCCCAGCAGGACCCCGTCGGGCGCGGCGAGGTTGAAGGCGAGGCTGCGCGCGCGCAGCTTGTAATCCTTCACCTGCGAGCCGCACAGCGCGAACAGCTCCCTCTCGATCTCGCAGCCCAGCTCCTGCACCCCCGGCGGCAGCACCGCCGCGGAAGAAGCCTCCCCTGCCCCGCTGCCGCGCGCGGACATGGCCCGGCAGAGCTTCTCCACCGCCCCGTCCCGCAGCTCCTCCGCGGCCTGCCCCCGGCCGCCCCGCGCCGCCCGCGCGGGCGCCGCCCGCGCAGGGCCCGCCCCCGCTCCGCGAGGGCGGGTGGGCCGTCGCTCCCCAGCGCTCCCCGAGGGGGCGCCCCCGGCGGGCCCCTCGTGCAGCCTCGCCTCGTGCCACCTGCGCAGCACGGCCGCGAGCCTGTCGCCCAGGTGGGGGCCCAGCGCCCGCCGTGCCAGCTCGTGCGCCTGCCGCGAGGCGACGGCCGCGCCGAGGCCCTCACCGAGGACTGCCCGCACCCGCGGGCTCATGCGCCGGTCGAGCGCCTCCAGGGCGGAGACTGCGCCGTCGACGAACTGCAGGAGCCGGGCCGATCGCGGCGGCACGCCGCTGATGGCGGCAATGGCTCCCTTCACGACGGAGATGACGCGGGATGCGTCCTTCCCAGACCGCACTCCGCTGCGAAGCCTCCCCAGCTGGATCCTCTGGCGGTTGACAGCGGAACACGCCTCGCACTCGTCCGCGTGCTGCCACAACATAACCCCCCCAAACTCTCCCAGACGTCATCCTCATCACCTCTCCCTCGAGTCCAGCCGCGGCGACGAGGATACATCTCAAAGACCAAGACACCAATAGGAAGGACGCGGACAAGCAGGCCTCGTACTCGCACCGCGCCGCGGCGCCGAGCTCCTTCCACGATCGCTCCAGCGCCTCGCGCGCGATGTCGTCGGACTTCCCCGAGTCGTCCTGCAGCCCGAGCTGCCGCAGCACCGAGGGCCGGTGCTCGCGGGCGTAGAGCGAGTACGCGCTCGGCACCACCTCCCGCGACCGGGGGGCGGAAGCCCCGCTGGGGCCACCTGCCGTGGCCGTGGTCATGGCTGCCGCGGGCCGGGGCGGGTCATGCCCCAGAAGGGGAGGGGGGCACCTCGAGCCGGAGGGGAGGGGGGGAGGAACGGCCGCGCAGCATGCACAGTGCACTGGCAAACGGGCTCTCGAATTCACGATCTCTTGAGGGCCAACCTGGATTATGCCGATCGGGCTGTGTGTCCCCCTTCACATTCGTTCGAACGGCCTTGTTACGACTACCCGCTCTCTACCGTGCACGTTGCTGTCCGTTGCCGATGGGGATTGAAGCCCTCACACACTGTACTGGCTAAGCTAGCCTACAGAAATTGGGTTCGAGATAGATGTTACGCGCGGCCCGTGCCTTCCTCGCTTTGAGCCATCTCAACGTACGGTGATTCTTTCACATACCCCATGAGGCTTTGCCTCCGTGCTTCAAACTTGTTCTGCGCAAGCACGCCCTATGTTGTTGGTCCGTCTCCTGGCCAGGGTTCTTGAGGAACTACCCCACCCAATTCTTTGAGGAACGCTCTCGCCAAAGCTAGTGACATGTGAATTCGGCGCGGGCTTTCCCTCTACAATGCTTCCAATAAGCCCCAATCTGGCCCAAGGCGGCCACGGACCCCCCCCAATGATGCACCCGACACAGCACACTTGTGAAACGGCCTAAGCCTTTTTAGTCGATTTGGCCTTCTCGCTTTTCCACATCGGATGGGCCCCTGCAGCCTCAAGGCTGCGTCAAGAGTGCCCAACGTGTTGTGAGGGGCTCAGCACGGCTCCAAGAGAGCCCGAGCGCTTCCCCCCAAAACACCTTACGAGGTAATCTCTCTGCTCCCTAAAAGGAGGGACCTAAATCGAACGCCGCCCTCTCTTTTACGAATGGCCACTCGGATTCCCCTCTCAAATTGCCAAACAACGACCCGATGGAATCGCCACATGCTATCAAAACGGCTCCTATCAGAGCTCGGGGATGGCCCGAATGGCCTCTCAAAGATCCCCGCGTTGGCCATTGTTGTGGGGTTCTCGGGAATATGCCAAGTTTCATCTGGCTGCAGCCAGTCATCTTTGTGATGTCAATGCTTCTCCACGCCGTTCTTACAACAACGCCCACACGAATCGTGTCTGGCGGGGGGGGGATACACGGCAAGTAAATCCTTCTGGCCCCTTTCAAAAACAAAGGGTCCTTACAGCGAGATTTCGAGTTTGGGTATCACATCGAGATTGTCGGTGGTAGGACTTCGAACAAACGTACGAGTATCATGCCATGGCGGCCTCATGGCGCCCCGGGATCTGAAAGTAGGGAGCTCCCAAGAGGGCAGCCGCTGAGAGGTCAGCTCGCCGTTCTCGGCAAGGCCATCCGAGAGCGTTTGACATGTCGGTGTACTCGACAATCCGAACCCCGGCCACACCCTGGGGACTTCGCAAGGGCCCCGTACCTCAAGGGGAGCCATGGCCCTGCGACATTCCTGATGGGCAGGTGTCGAGAACAGGATGGGCCCCAAATAACCTTGGTTGTAACTCTCTCTCTCTCTCTCTCCCTCTCTCTCCCTCTCCCTCTCTCTCCCTTTCTCGCTACCATCATATATATATATTTATATATGTGTATACATATATATATATATATAGATATATATATATATATATATATATATATATATGACTCTCTCTTTCCCTCTCTATCTCTCATTCTCTCTCTCTCTCACTCTCTCTCTCTCAGCCTACTTCTCTCTGTCTCTCATTATCATTCTCTCTCTCTCTCTTGCGCGTTTTCACTGGTCACGAACCATGCCGAACATGGGAATGAGCAAACGCCTTGGGCACCGGCAAGGGCTCTTACCGATATCGCAATGATGCCGAGGAGCGCCCGCCGCGGTGGCGACGTTCTTGTGCTTTGCGCTGCTCCGCCATGCGGGCCGCTGCCGTGACGAAACCTCGCAACTGCTTCTCGAGACCAAAGCCATACGCCCTCACGTCCGACATCACCTTCTCGAGCGTCACTTCCTGCTGGAGGATCACGGCTAGCACCAAAGCGAACATTAAGGATCGCTTACCGCCGGTACCCACAGCCTTCACATGTCGCAGATTGCGCGCCTTCAACTGCACTATGCTGACATCCTAGTTTGAGAGGCCCTTCCGATGGCACAAATTCATGATATCAAGATCCGTCGTGTACTCGTATGCCCCGTCGGCTTTGCCCGTGCCCGTGGCGGCCTGAAGCAACCAAGAGGCGTTCTCGTGAAGCGAGGAAAATCTTATCCAACCCCACCACTGGGATGGGCACGCCATCTGAAGCCGCCAGTGCCGCAGGCACTGGGTGGAGTGTCCTGAAATCCCCACACATTGAATATGGAAAAACTCTTGAAAGGGCCGCGGCCCAAGCTCACGGAATTCCTGGACGCTTCTCGGCGCTGCTGGGCGCTATTGGGGCTCGCCGCAGATCTCTTCCTGAAGCTTTCAGGGCGTAGTTCGGAATCACAACTGCCAACGTACTCGAAGATGGTCCCAGAAAAGGTCCTGAGGCCCTCTTGGGAGCCCCGTGGGCCGTCTTGGAGGCCGAGGGGACCGTTCCAACAATGCCCCCGATGCCGCCAGACGGTCCAAGTCAACCCAAAGACGGCCCAAGGGACCCCCGAGATGGCCCGAGCCCCCAAGGGGGCCCCGAAGGTACGACAAGAGCCCCAAGGCACCCCCAGATGGCTCCCCGACCGTTGGGGAAGCATGCCGTCCTCCAGCGCGGCCACACTCTCGCTCGACATCACACGACGCGAGTGTCTCCGAAAAGCAGGGGACGCCGGTGGCTCGCCGAGGGCGTCTTCGATGCACGATGTCGAGCCCGACGCCCTCCAGGTCGATGTCTCCTCCACTGGCGAGCCTGGGCCGCTCGCGCGGCTGCCTGTCAGAACCCTCGCCGTGCCTGCCCCCGTCGCTGCCGTCCTCCCCGCTCCCTCGGCCTGCGCCGCTCGAGCGCCCGGCTCCCGCGGAAGGAGCAGCTCCCGCCGTGCCGCGCGCCGTCGCCAGCTCGCCGCCTGTCCGCGTCCCCATGTCGGTGCGGGCGGCCCGGGCCGCTCCAGCCCGCCTCCTGGGGCCGCCGCTCGCTCCGATCGTCGCGCTGCGGAGAGCCTCCGCAGCGACCGCGCTGCCGTGAGCCCCTGGCGCCGCTCGAGTGATGGGCATTGCCCCTGTCCCTGCCGCTGCGTTCACCCGTATCTGCAATGGAGCTGTTCAGGAGGTTGGCAAATGCCCGTCCAACTTGTGATCCCTTAGCTCGGCAAACAAGTGGCTGATGGAGTCCGTTTCTTTCAGGGCCATCGCCACGACGAGCGCCACCATCACCGAGTGTTTGTCGCCGAGGCCCACGGCCTGGATGTGCCGCTTGTTCTTGCCCTTGAGACGGACCGCCCGGACCTCGTCGTCGTCGAATCCGAGTTTGCGGGTTTGCTGAGCGATCTCGTCGTCATCCACATACTCGAACTGAGAGCAGGCCTTCCCCCAGCATCCCAAGGCCGACTGCAGCCTCCACGACGCGTTCTTGTGGAAGGCGGACGTCGGCTCCAACGCCAGCACTGGAATGTCCCCGCCACTCCGCGTCCTGACGATCTTGAGCACGCCATGGGTGCTGTCCTGGCCATGGGGCGACCTCGACCTGTGCGGCCCCGACGCCCAGCTCATGGCCGCCTGGCGCGGGGGTGGACCCAACGAGTTTCGAACCTGCTTGGCGGCATCAGGTGCGTCTGGCGGCTCTTGGGTTGCAGTTGCCACGCAGCGCCTCGCTTGCATGCAGCTTGCCCTCCCCCTTTGCCATCGCCCGGACGTCCATTCCACGCGCATGCTTCGGCTTTGTGCGTTTCTGCTTTAGGCGAGATGCTCCAGGATGTTTTCGTGCCCGCGCCGGAACAAACAGTGCACACGTCCCAGCGATGCCAAGTCCCCCCGTCAGACTCTGCGCAACAAAAACTTCGGCGGTGTACAAACCTACCTCTAGTAAGCCTCCCTTGAGTGAAAACGGCCTAGGACCGAAACCGCCAGACCTGGACCCGCACAAGCGACGGCCGCGGCGCCCTCTCGCGAACCGAGGACGGCCAATTCGCCAATCGAGACGTGTCAGGGCAGGAGGTCTATCAGCCTCCGAAAACGCTGGCCGGCTGTGTGCAGGAACCGGGCCCGGCGCCAGCTCCGCCACCCGGCACGGACCCACGAGGCACCGCGCCCTCGGCTCTTCCACGAGCGATCGTGCCAGGGCTCGTGAAGGGCCTCGCCCTCCAGGCGGCGGCAACATCAATCATCATCATCATCGTCATCGTCATCGTCATCATCATCATCATCATCATCATCATCATCATCATCATCATCATCATCATCATCATTCATCATCATCATCATCATCATCATCATCATCATCATCATCATCATCATCATCATCATCATCATCATCATCATCATCATCATTATCATCATCATCATCATCATCATCATCATCATCATCATCATCATCATCATCATTATCATCATCATCGTCAGCATCGTCATCATCATCATCATCATTATCATCTTCATCATCATTATCATCATCATCGTCAGCATCGTCATCGTCATCATCATCATCATCATCATCATCATCATCATCATCATCATTATCACAACCACCATCATCATCGTCATCGTCATCATCATCATCCTCCTCATCATCGTCACCATGATCGGATGTGATCGGGATCTGCGGCTGGTAAGGCTACACCGGCACGGGGTCGGAATATAATCGAATCGACTGCGCCAAGATGTGTAACAATGCCGTGTAAGCATCGGGCCGCCTCGGATCGTCGGAATATCAACATCGAGTCGGATCGGGCCGGCTGTAACCGACATTGACTCGGACCGATCGAGTCGAGATAGATCCTGCGTAGGTGGTTTAACAAGTTCCTTCTTCCAACTTTGGTCTTCCCTTTCGGGGAGGGGTCTATAACTGCTCCTTATTAATGAACACCTCCTCCCAGAGTCGACCAGCCGCCACAGCGGAACCATGAACGCCCCCCCCCCACCATCCCTGTCGAAACAATGCAAACTGTGCGTGGCGGCAAGGCTTGGTCACGAGCGGGCACCCTGCAGCCATTTCGCACTGGTTTTTGACAGTGGCGGTGTGTGTGTGTGTGCGTGTGGTCAATGTTGTCCGTAGTGCACTGCCCTGCAATCCCTGTTCAAACCAACACAACCTCATTGCGGGTGTACGCGCCGTAATACGCCATGCTGACCACCCGCTGGCACTTTGCAACTGTTTTTGGCAGCGACGGCGGTGCGGGGGGTCGATGCCATGTTGCCCGGTGTGCGCTGACACGTGCGCTGGCGCACCCATCGCCGTCTGGCGCGATTTGCGCGCGGAGCGCACGTGGCGCGGCTGGAGGACGTGGAACAGTTGGCGCACGTGGCGCAGCTGGTGCGCGCGGCGCACTTGGCACGCGTGGCGCACCTCGCGCACGTCGCCCACCTGGCGTTTGTGGCGATTCGCGGCGGCTGCCCATCTGGTGGCGACTTCTGATCATGCTGAGTCTCTGCTACTGCTGAAATGGTTTTGACGGCGGGTGGACGTGAGCGAGACAGCTTGTCGCGTACCCGATGGACACTTGACCCCTCCCCGAGAGCCCCTCCCCTGGGTCCGGACAGGGGTAGCCACGAGGCGCGAGAGCGTCCAGCATGGCCCAAGAGGGCTCCAAGAGGGCCTCGGGTGGCCCAAGCTGGCCCACGAGATGGACAGGTGTGGGCGCTTTCGGAAACCCTGAGCCCAAAAACGTTTTCATCTCTTGGGGACACATTTTTCACTTCCGCCGCCTTCCGCCGAGCTTCCGCCGGCTTCCGCCGGCGGAGGCGGCCTTGTGTCGCTTCCGCCGCCCTTCCGCCGCCTTCCGCCGCGGAAGAGATGCCAACTCCTTCCATCCTCGAAGGCATGGCCTCTTTTTGGAACGCCCCACAGAGCCAGAGATGGCCCAGTAGGCCTTTCAACGTGCCTCCAAAAGGCCAACAGACCACCCACAGGCGGCTCCAACAGGCCACGGAGTGTCCTAAGGACACCCCCCGCGAATCCAGCATCGTCCAAAAACACGTCGTTTTCTCACTGTGTTGTCGGCTGCCCGCCCTGTTGCGCTCGATGGGCCTCTGGGGCCCAAGACGGCCCGATCGCCCAAGAGGATCCCAGAAAAGGGACCCAGAAGAGTTCCAATGTGGCTCCAACAGCGTCAACCAACGCCCCAAGAGGGCCTCAGGACGCGATCGGTCGAGCGTTCAGGCTTCGTCGACATCAAAACGCTGGTGTGACACAACAGCGCCTGGATAATGCCTTGCTCATCGCCGAGCACCTGATGTAAATATGGCCCCCATCCTGCCTCCCCGCTTCCTCCTGCAATCGAGACTGACTGGAGAGGACACGCGAGAGGGCACGAGACCCTTCTAAGGGACACGCTGCCTTAGGAATGCGGAGGGCATGGGCCGCGACACACAGGACACAAGGGTGCCCTTGAGTTGGCAAGGCCGACCTGCCAATCAACCTCGACCGTGCCCTCCCTCCTTCTTTCTCTCATTCTGAGCGAGCGCCTCCCTCCCCCCCCCCCCCCTCCCCCCCCCCTCCCCCAGTCGACCTACCAATCCCGGCCTGGCCCTCTGGCGCGCTGGCGGCGAGAGCCCGACGATGGGCGCGGCGGTTAGGCGCGCCTCTGGCGCCGCACCCTGGCGCGCTCCGCGCGCCAGAGGGGGGGGGGGGTCCAGCGCCGATCCCGATGCGAGAAATCCGCGCGGACCTCCGAGTTTTTGTGCTTATGCCATTCTTCGTCTCCGTAAGCTGGGCCACGTCCTCCTTCTTTTCGGGAGGTCCTCCTTCGTCCGTCTTCGTTCTGGACAGCACCCCCCGTCGCACCACCTCGCGTGTGTCGGCAGGGCGGCCTGGGAGCTTCGCCTAACACTTCACACAACGTCTTACAAGTTATGCCCCTGAGCTTTGAACTTCCCACTTGTTGCACACAAGTTTTTTGCATTACAAGATGTATTGTTTGAATTGCTCCCGCCCTAACGCCGCGCACATTCGTCTTCAAAGCGTCCAACCGTCAGATGGACGGATGGCGCATCGTTTTCCGCACGTGGCTCTCGCCGTAAGGCCGCACACTTCCGTCCCAATCCCACCAGTCCTGCAAGAGTCCTGTAGGGGTGAAATGGTCTAGAATGCTGCCTCTTCCAACTCCCTTCTTCACCTTCGGGGCAAGGATCATCACTGCCCCGATGAATCAACACCCCCTCCCCCCCTCGACGGGCGGCCGTCCGGAAAAGATGCCAAACCCGCGTCACCCTGGTCAAGAAGCAATTGCCGACTGCACTTTGCCGCAACATCGAAACCATGTTCGGGCGCCCCGCGATCACTTCGCACTGTTCCGTGGCAGGCATGGCGGGGGGGGGGACATCATACTGCCCTGCGTGCGCAGGCCCACCATCCCTGCCAGCGTCCTCGCGCAAGGTGACTATGGGTGCGCTCACGCACCAAGCGGCGCAAGACTTGCAACACCACCGTTACTTCGCAGTGATTTTTGCCACGCGTGGCGTGGGGGGTCGACATGTGGGGCCTCTGGCGCACCCGTTGCGCTTGGCACGCTTGGGCCCATGGGGGCCTGGCGCACCTGGTGCGCGTGACGCACCTGGCTGGCGTCCCTATTGGTCCCTGATAGTTGTCGACAGCGGCTCCTGCCCATGCTGAGACTCGGGTGCTACATATTATGAAGTGGGCGGGCGGGTGGGAACGAGCGACAACTTGCGGCGTTCCGCTTGGACTTCGAACGTTGCTCCTTTTTCAGGAACGCACCCTCCTTCACTCTACGGGCCCCTGACCCATGCCATCGCCCCTCCCACCATCCCTGCCAAACAACAATGCAACATGCAATTTGCATAATAATCAGGCCGTGTTCGGGCGCCCCCCGGTCACTCATATATCTGTATGTACATATATATTCACATACGGGGGCGAGAAGACGTGATCATATTGCCCTACGTGCTCAGGCCCACAATCCCCTTTCAACAGCCAATGCGAAGCGCACGTTGCGCCAAAATCTTTGACTACGCGCGGGCGCCCTTCGATCACCTTGCATTGCTATTTGACAATAATAGTGGGAATGCCGTGGCACGCGCGGCGCACATCGCGGGCGCCGCGCGCTTGGCTGGCGTCTGCACTGGCTCCCGATGGTTGTTGATGGCGGCCCCTGCCAATGCTAAGGCTCGGGTGATGCTTATGTGTTGGCAGGGCGGGTAGGAGTGAAGGAGACGGCTTGCGGCTTATGGGTAGCTGGACCCCTCCTCCCTGCCCTCCCCCGGGGTCTGGGCGGGGAGCGCCGCAGCGGGTTAAAGCGTCCAAGACGGCGCAAGATGGCTCGAATATGGCGCCAGAAAATCCAGGATGGCCTCCACAATGGCACACAACTGCCTAATATAGCTCGAGATGGCTTTCAACATGCCTCTAAGAAACTCCAATCTTGTCCGAAAGCGGTTCCATGTGGCCACGGGGCCTCCCAAAGACGCCCCCGAGAGCCCTAAATCCTTCGAGCAAGTGCGGGGCACTTCTGATTTTCGCCTTCTTGCAATTTCGCTTGAACGTTTATCTGTGATGCCGATTTCTCGTCTCCGATAAGAAAAAGAAAGGCGATGGGAGGGAGGGAGGAAGGGACGAGGGTGGGAAGAGTGAGGGAGGAGGGAGGAGGTAGGAAGGAGGAGGACGAGGTCAGACGTGCTAAGCGCTTTGGCCAAGCACAGCGCGCAGAGAAGAAGT